TCTTTCTTTCTTTCTTTCTTTCTTTCTTTCTTTCTTTCTTTCTTTCTCTTTCTTTCTTTCTTTCTTTCATTCATACATACATACATACATACATATATATATATCTCACACACACATATAATTTATACATTTTTCTTTAACATACATAAGTGCTTAGTAAACAGTGTATTGTCTGGTTTAGTTTACTTATACATAATAATACTGAAATAATGTTAAGATTTTAATGATTATTAATGGTAGAACTGAACTGGAATGGAATGAGGGTTTATAATTACATATATTTACAATCTTTCTTTTTTTTAAAGAATATAGTGTGTATTATAAGAATGTGCCAAGCAGAATTCGATTGGAAGTTATGTATTATGTATTATATTGAAGGTCATAAACTTAAGGTATATATTGAAGTTTAAATAAGAGTTGAATGGATGTAATTAAAAGATATAAAGATGTCATACTCCAAATAGTAACTACAGGAGAAAATTTGTTTAATGAGAAAAGATAGTATGAAATTGAAACAGAACAGACAAAAGTATAAATATAATGATTTGAATTGAGATGAGATAATCAAAATAAAATTGAGAAAATTAAACGAGGGTCAAAACTATATAGAAAATGTAAAATAGTATAAGATATGGAATAGAGTACAAAAAAGAGCATGAAATTGAGTTTTGTGTCTATATAAAGAAGTTCAACCCGGGACCATGCTATTTTCAAAAAAGATGTTTTACTTGTATTTTGTGTGTGAAAACCCAAATAAAACTTTATTAAAAATAATAATAATACTGAAATAATATTAATTACTTATACATAGCAATAATCTTTCAACTTCTAATTTCTACCTCTATTATCTAACCATTAATAGAACAAATCCCATGTTGAAAGATATTCTGTATATTCTTTATCCTTTATCTTTAATGTTAACCTATCTATTTCTACGCAATCTAGTATTTTTAAAAATTATTTTTTAATCTGTAGGAGTTTTCTCATTGTTGAAGCATTTGTACAAATACAATTCTCGTTGCGGTCAAGAAACGTAGCATTAAATATACGTTCCCTTTGTCATATTTTTTCTGGCAATATACCTAATAAAAGTATTTGTGGCTTTAAATATATGTTGCTTTATCATTTTCTCTAACCATGTGTGTATTTTGTCCACTTTTTTTTTGTCTTTGGATTCCCAGCCTCTTGTAGGGAAGAGCATCAAGATGGTGTGATATTGACTTTACTTCTCACCCTTTCCTCTTTCCTGGGGCTCAGTGGCCATTTCTATTCTTTTAGTGGTTCTGGCATCCCTTCCTCAACCTTGTTTGACCCAGTTTGGAGAAAGGGAAGCCAACTTACCCATACAGCAGGCAAACCCCCATTCCGGCCGACATCACCCCTTGCAGAACCCGCCAACTGCCGCAGACCCACGCCAGACCCAGGAGGAGGAACCGTCCCCCCACCTGGATGAGGTCTCCTGCCATGGCTACCGGTAGCCGTTGCGAAGGACAACACAACTCCAAACCTAGGGAAGGACAGAAGGCAGGCAGGGCATTGTAACTTAAAGAGGCAGAATACAGGCACAAGTCCTCACCTTACGACCAGAATGGAGCACAAAATTTATATATATTTACATATATCACAACGTATGTGGGTGTGTACCTAAATTTGTATTTATTTATTTTGTCATGTTCACGTAATGTATATTGGAGGCAGTGATCCTCTGAGAGTTGCGTGCAATGAAATTTCATTTTAATGTATGCCAATTAGTGTACATTCAAAGTGGCAATAAAGTTGTTATTCTATTCTATTCCTGTTCCATTCTATTCCATATTCTATTCTATTTCCATATTCTATTTCTATATTCTATTCTATTATTTCTATACTATTATTTCTATATTCTATTCTATATATTATTCTATTCTATTTCTACATTTTATTCTATTTCTGCATTCTGTACTATTCTATTCTTCTTTTCGATTCTATTTCTCCTATTCTATATTCCATTCCATTCCAAATTTTCTTTTCTTTTCCATTCCATTCCACATTTTCTATTCTATTCTATTCTATTCTATTCTATTCTATTCTATTCTATTCCATATTTTCTATTCCATTCTATTCCATTCCATATTTTTTATTCCATTCCATTCCATTCCATTTCATTCCATATTTTCTATTCTATTCTATTCCATTCCATTCCATTCTATTCTATTCCATATTTTCTATTCCATTCTATTCTATTCCATTCCATATTATCTATTCCATTCTATTCTATTCCATTCCATTCCATATTTTCTATTCTATTCCATTCCATATTTTCTATTCTATTCCATTCCATTCCATATTTTCTATTCTATTCTATTCTATTCTATGCTATTCTATTCTATTCTGTTGCTAATTGGGAAATTTAAAAAGTCAGTTTTGCCTAATTTTACGCCTTTTCCTACCACATTTGTTAAGGGAATCACTGCAGTTCATAAATTAGTAACACAATTGTTAAGTGAATCTGTCTTCCCCATTAACTTTGCTTGTCAGGAGGTTGCAAAAGAGGATCATTTCACTCTGGGACAATTGCAACCGTCACAAAGGTGAGTTTGCCGTCAAGCCTCCAAATGTAAATCACATAACCATGGGGTGCTGCAACGGTCATCAGTGTGAAAAATGGTCCTAAGTCACTTTTTTCAGGACTGCTGTAACTTTGAACGGTCGCTAAATGGAATAGTCAAGGACTATTTCTAATCCAAATTATACCTGAAAGTTTAGAGCAGCATTCTCCAAAGTTGGCAATTTAAAGATGTCCCAGAATTCCCTGGGCATTTTCTACAAAAAAAAAAGTTATGAGCAATGGGCTCACTTAATTATAATGTTCAGTTAAGAATCATGATTTAATCAGGACTGATTAAATCTTATTAACAAATGGTTTTATTGGTGTTTATAGAAAACTGAGATAGTGAAAATGTGATGGAACACTGAGTGATATTTATAATATTAATTAACTAGCAGTGCTTCCCTACGAAACTATGTGGTTGGACTTAGTATTTGGGGAGGAAAATAAGGAGAAAAAAATTCTGCCTCTGCCTACCAGCATCCATCGGTATTCATCTGGCTAGCGTTCTGTCAGTGTGTGAGAGAGTTGAGGAAACTGAAGCAGTATTTGCTATGTGAGCAAGGAGACAGCAAGGAGCCTGGGCAGGGCTTAGCTCAACTGTTCTATACTAAAGCTGCTTGGTGCTGTGAAACTGAAACTGAAACTCCTCTCCTCTGCTTGTGTTTTGCATTTGGAAGATTTCTTTTCAGGTGGGGAGGGGGAGTAGAACTCCTTAGCATCAGAGCATGTTAATAATAATATAGGATAGACTCTAAATCAGGGGTGTCCAACCTTGGCAATTTTAAGACTTGTGGACTTCAACTCCAAGAGTTCCTCAGCCAGCTGGCTGAGGAACTCTGGGAATTGAAGTCCACAAATCTTAAAATTGCCAAGGTTGGACACCCCTACTCTAAATGCTCTGATGGTCATTTCAAAAAAGCTTTTCTTAGTGAGCCCCTAGAAACCAAGAGGAACATACGTGCTAAATGTCAAGTTTGTAGGCCTTACAGTTCTGGAGATTTGATGATGCCTGAGTAGTATTTTGCTTTTATGTATACATATACATTAGTGATTTAACAGGGGTTACTAAGTATATTGTATGAAGAAATGTTATGGATATTTACATATATTTTTGATGTGATGAAAAATCATAAAGAGAGAATAGTTTTGTTGAAAGATAATGAGATGAATATAGAAATACCCCGACAAAAGGGAAAAATAAAGAAATAAGTATTGGGAAAATAGTATAATATATATTAATACATAAAATAATATATTATAATTATAATGAGCATACCAAAATTAGAAATTGGAAGATAAAAAGCCCTGTATATGTAATTGTATTATCACTGTCAGCATTGTGTGAAAAATATATTAAAATATATTAACCCAATCATTACACTGTCCACAAAACATATTGGTTGTTAAAGGAAAACTACAAATAAAACATATACAATGATTCGCTTAACGAGCACTGCAAAAAAATGTCATAAAACCAAGTTGGTCATGTGATGACTCATTTAATGACTGATGTGACTTATGACCATACTTCTGGCCCCCATTATGGAAGGCTACCTATTTTTTTTTCTATTTTGTCCGTTATTCAATTTCAGTTATTTTAAAGGCAGGCTGCAGGACACCCAAGGCCATACATTATTATCCGTCCTAATGAAAAGGAACAAACATTAACCTAATTATGTAAATTATTAAGCAAACTGGGGAAAAACACACACACAGCCCTTGGGAAAATTAGCTTGAAGTTCAGGATGCAAATTTTAACAAAGGCAACAAACAGTTAAGTGCTTCCCCAAGCTTAAGAACAAGGGCAGGAGATGATGGGATTTATAATCCATGTCCGATGAAGCATTTCTCAAACCTCCCTGAATGTATGGCTTGTAAAACATCCGTGTTCCAAGCTTGGATTAATTTTGGAATTGCTCTGTTTTAAGATTGGACCTATGCCTGGTTCAAGATGGGACAGTGCTTATCCAGAATAAGAGTTGGAAGGGACTTTGGAGATCTTCTAGCCCAACCCCCTTGCTCAAGAAGACCCTGTATCACACTGGACAAATAGTTGACCAATCTATTCTACAGAACCTCCAGTGATGGAGCACCCACAACTTCTGGTGGCAAGGAGTTCCACTGGTGAATTGTCCTCACTGTTAGGAAGTTTCTCCTTGTGCTTGGGAACAAAATGTAGGTCACAACATACAGTTAGAAGATTGGAAGAAAATGTGGACCAAGAACTGCGAATTAACGTTATCAACAGCAAAGAGACTCTTATCTAGATCATTTATAGATGGCATTTGACACCGGCGAGATTGGCAGGATATATCTGAATATGAACCCACACTGCTGGAAATGTAAGCTAGTAGATGGAACATACTACCATATGTGGTGGCAATGCCCCAAAGTCAAAAGGTACTGGGAAAAAAATGAGGAGATGGATAAGTGAAATTACAGGGTACAATATTGAATTTAAGCCAGAAAACTTTTTACTGGGAATGATTAAAGGAACTTTGGAGAAATCTACCCAACACATCGTTCAACATGTAATAACAGCAGCAAGAATCACCTATGCCCAAAACTGGAAAGTAGATGATATACCTTCTGAAACTATGGTAATTAATAAAATACTTGACTGTGCCGAGATGGATAGGCTTACAAGAAAACTAAAAGGAAAAGAGGAGTCAGAGTTTTATGAAGCTTGGGAAATGTTATATATATGGTTAGAAAAAAGAAATAAGATTTGATATGAAATAGAATTGCAAATAAAATGTATTTTATTTTTAATATTGTAATGCTTGACACAGAACTGTTAAAATGTACATACACATGTATTTTGAAAATAAAATGATGATGATGATGAAGTTTCTCCTTAATTCCAGGTTGCTTCTCTCCTTGATTAGTTTCCATTCATTGCTTCTTGTCTTGACTTCAAGGATTTATGGAGAGTAGCTTGACTCCCTCTTCTTTGGGGCAGCCCCTCAAATACTAGAATACTGCTATCATGTCTTCCCTAGTCCTTCTTTTCACAAGATTTGACATACTAGATTTGTCATACTAGATTTGACAAAGATGATTAGGGGACTGGAGGCTATATAGAGAACAATTGCAGGAACTGGGTATGTCTAGTCTAATAAAAAGAAGGACTAGGGGAGACATGATAGCAGCGTCCCAGTATCTCAGGGGCTGCCCCAAAGAAGAGGGAGTTAAGCTATTCTCCAAAGCACCTGAAGGAAGGACAAGAAGCAAAGGGTGGAAACTAATCAAGGAGAGAAGCAACTTAAGAGAAATTTCCTGACAGTTAGAACAATCTATCAGTGGAACAACTTACCTCCAGAAGTTGTGGATGCTCCAACACTGGAAGGTTTTAAGAAGAGACTGGATAACCATTGGTCTGAAATGGTACAGGGTTTCCTGCCTGAGCAAGGGGTTGGACTAGAAGACCTCCAAGGTCCCTTCCAACTCTGTTATTCGGTTACCCAATTTAGATGTGTGTTTTTCACATGTTTTAGCTTCCAGCCCCTAATCATTTTTCTTGCTGTTTGCTGGAGATTTTTTAGAAGAGATTGGACAACCATTGCTCTGAAATGATATACGGTCTCTGGCTGGAGCAGGGGGCTAGACTAGAAGACCTTCAAGGTTCCTTCCAACTCTGTTATTCTTTTATATATGTATTCCTGTCCTAATTGCATTTTGTTCCTTCCCTCTTTGGCTGTTATTTTAAAACTCACTTTAAAAACAAAAATTCGTTTTGCTTTTTCTTGCCTAAATGTAGATCCTTAGTTTTTTCACCACCGAGTCTCATTTTGTTAGACAGCACCCACTTACAGCAGCTCCAACATGCTACTCACGAGTAATGTAGAGGGCAAGTTGCATGGCACCCAGCATCGTGCCCCACAGACACCGGCCCAGTATGAAGATGGAGGGAGAGGATGCGAAGGCTGCCAGGAGGCCTGCGGGGCAGCCGAGAGCCAAAGTGAGGAGGAAGGTACTCCGTCTCCCTACACTGCGGACAGCAACAGAAATTGAAAGATTACAGGGCAGTCCTTGACTTACGACCAAAATGCACTCACTCATTCTGTGATGACCCGGGGCGTGGCACAAAGGCAACACAGTCAAATAATCAGTAGGAGTCCCTTTATTAGCTTCAGCTTTGTCTCCAATGTCCAGGTTACCTTCTGGGCTTAAAAAAAACTCTTCCAGGAAGAGCCTTTGGTTGAATCAAGTCCAAAACATGGTCAACAAAAACTGTAACTATAAGTCCAATCAAGGCAAGATGGGGTAATTAGTCTGGCAGGTCAGGAGTAGTAATTCAACCCGGTTGGGAGGATGCCAGGAACACAGGTAACCAAAGTCAACACAAGATAAATTCATGTTTGTTCCCAGTAGACACTGCACTCAGCTTGTATCTCTTTTAAACTCTCATTCCCAGGTGTGGCTAATAAAGGGAATCAGGGCCCTTTCCTACCCTGTAAGCCACGCAACCCACGTTGCTCCCTTCTCCATTCCTCCCTGCGTGCCCTAGGATGAAGAGGGAGTGGGCCTGGGTCTTCCTCTGAACTCCGTCTCCCTTGTTCTACCTCTCCCCTGCTCTGCCCAGCCGGACTTGGCCTTTCCCCAATTTTCTCCATAGCCAATGGAGCCACACTCCCACTCCCTCTCAGCTGTCCGTCTTCTTCCTCGGATTCAGACTCCGACAGGGGCATGAGTCATTCATTCATTCATTCATTCATTCATTCATTATTCATTCATTCATTCAATCAATCAATCAATCAATCAATGGATGTATATGCCACGCATCTGGATGGGTCCCTAGATAGCTTGCAATCCATAAAAAAAATAACCAATAAAAAAACATGTAAACCATAAATAGCAACCCCATTTAGTTTAAAACTAAAAACTCCCGTCCGAACCTTCCCACTTACCTGTCCGCCAGGTGACCAAGGAAAACGGCCCCTGCAGCGAAGCCCAGGAGGAAACAGATCTGTTCCAGAGGGATCACCCAGCTGCCGGAATGATCCAGGGACCACTGTGGAGAAAAAAGGATAAGGAATTGTTTAATTTTATTTTTTTTAATTCCTTCATTCACGCCTGAGAAGGAATGAATGCGTAACTTAAATGTGATATTGGTACGAGTCTGATTGTATCTTTCCAGACTACTGCATCTTTGCAGTCCTTGGCTTACGACCTATTTGAAGTTACGACGGTGCTGGAAAAAACGACTTATGATTGGTCCTTGCGTTTCCAACCCCCGGCACTGCAGGTAGTCCTCGATTTACATCCACAATGTAGCCGAAAATTTCTATGGCTTGATGCTATCCCTCTGTTAATGCAGCCTAAGATTGCATTGGCTTTTTGGGCAGCTGGAGCACACGGCTGGCTCACATTCCTGGCTTAGCATTGAACTACCATAGTCCTCGGCTTACAACAGTCCATTTAGTGATGGTTCAAAGTCATAAAGGCACTGAAAAAGTGACTTTCAACCATTTTTCACACTTTCGGTCATCGTAGCAGCCCTTATGCTCCTGTGATTGCAACTGACTTATAGTTATAACGGTCAAGAGTGATTCTGTGACTTTCGGACGAGAAATGTCAAGGGGGAAAGGAGATTCACTCAACAACTGTAAGACTAACGTAACCACAGCAGCAATTCACTTAACAACGTGGTGAGAAAGGTTGTAAAACAGGGCAAAACTCACTCAGCCACTCAGCTTAGTAAATTTGGGGCTCCACTGTGGTCGTTTGTCGAGAAATATCCAAATTCACATTTATTCTCACACGTTTTATTTTCATCCTATCTTTCTTTTGCCATGTTTAGAAATCAAATTTCAGGTCTCTTGTTATACAAAACCGTCTGTAACTTGAGTCTATTCATTTTAAGTGGGTTTTTTTTTTTTTTAAGTTAGAAGCATGCAATAAAATTTCTCTTTCCGAAGATCAAAAATCTGATCTCATCGCTTCGCGATTGGCAAAAAGGGCTTTGTGGCCACGTCTTGAATAAAATCAAAGGAAAATCTCTTGCTGATCACATTTAGAAATTGCTGTCCCTTTTTCCTTTTCTTTGTAGAGAAAAATAATGACTGGAATTGTATTTGCACAAGATTGGAAAAATGAGGAAACGGTATATACAAGTAAAAATTGTTATTATTATCAATATTATGCATAGGTAAATTGACCCAGAAATTACACTGTTTATTAAGCACTGATGTAAAGAAAAATGTACAAATAAAACTTATAATGCAGTGGGAAAAACAATGACCCGTTTTCCCATTGTTAGGCCCAGAAGCAGCCTCAATGGG